AGACACGTCGTGGTTCTTAGGCTCTCACGTGCTGTAAATGGCACTGAGGCCAGGCCAGAGGTTCCCAACCTTTTTCCATGATTGCTCCTGGAATAGTGTCCCAACGTTGCTGAAATAAAGCACCACTGGCTGGTGACGTAGAGTAACCAAAACGCATTGAAACACAGCTCTGTTGGCCAGAAGTTGAAATCAAGATGTGAGCAGGGCCAGGCTCCATCTCCCAGCTTCTGGGTGTCACCTGCGGCCCCACGTGTTCCTTCACTCGAAGCTGTGTCTCCACCTTGGCTTCTCACTCCAAGCTCTGCCTCGATCACGAGGTGCTCCCCACCATGGCTCCACACAGTGTTTTCCTCCTTTTTATGTTTTTGAAACAGAGTCTTGCTCTGTCACCCAGGCAAGAGTGCAATGGCATGATCTCAGCTCGTTGCAATCTCCGTCTCCCAGATTCAAGTGATTCTCCTGCCTCAGCCTCCCAAGTAGCTGGGGCTACAGGCGTGCGCCACCACGCCTAATTTTTTGTAGTTTTACTAGAGATGGGGTTTCACCGTGTTAGCCAGAATGGTCTTGATCTCCTGACCTCGTGATCCACCTGCCTTGGCCTCCCAAAGTGCTGGGATTACAGGCGTGAGCCAACACGCCCAGCCTTCCCCCTCTTAGATTTGTTTGCATTGGCTTAGGGCAAACCCGACACCTGCAAAGGCCCTACCTCCAAATCAGATCACATTCAGAGGTTCCGGGGTTAGGATTTCAACATATTTTTTGTGGGGTACAATTCAACTGCACTAAGGAGTTGTTTTAGGTATTTTTTCCCTAATCACCCCACCCCCACCGCCTGGAATTTAATACTGCAGATACACTGTGTGTTGTGTGCATATCTGCACTTTCTACATAAAAGGAGGAGTTTTTTTTGCCCTCGAGGTAATACGCTTTCACCTCCTGTAGGGTAGTGGGATGCGTGGGTCATGACTGGTTTACACTTGGGGAAACTGAGACTCTGAATTGTCACATCACTGATCCAAAAGCCGTCAAAGAGCAGCAGATGGCAGGCCAGGCACGGTGGCTCACACCTGTAGTCCCAGCACTCTGGGAGTCCGAGGCGGGTGGATCACGAGTGTGGTGTGGGCTTGTGGTCACAGCTGCTCAGGAAACTGAGGCAGGAAAATCACTTGAAACCAGAAGGTGGAGGGTGCAGTGAGCCGAGATTTCGCCACTGCACTCCAACCTGGCATCAGAGTGAGATTCTGTCTCACAAACAAAACAGAACGAAAAAGCAACAGCAGGCTGGCAAAGCCCCAGGGCTGTGGACAGCAGGGCTGCCTTGCTGACTCAGGGGTTTCCTTTTGGGAAATTGCTGCACCTTCAAGTCTGAAATGTTCCTCCTGGCAAAAATGCTGCAGGGTTTTGGTTCTAAGCAGGTTTCAGATAAAAGCAGTTCAGTGGCAAAGACCATCGGGTCTGCCCTTCAGCCAAGAGAAGAGATATATATATATTTTTTTTTTCAAGTGGGACATTCCAAGAGGAATGGCCTTTTTTCTTTGTGCTCAGTGCTTGGATTTATTATCTGCCAGAGGTGGTTTGAACAATGAATAATTTAAATGGACGGAGCTTTGTATAGAGATTGGCTTTGGATGACTCACTAAAAATGTCTCATTTTATTATGCTAGATGGATTTAAGTGATATTAAAAATTCATATGTAAGAAAAAAAGAGATTCCATTCAGTTCAGAGCAGAAGTGGATGGCGGTGCAATGCAGTCCGAAGACTGAGGTGAGACCTTTCAATCCCCAGCCTCTTCTCTCTTTCCGCCCGGGCCCCCACCCAGAAATAAAGCAAACTGCGGACTTCAAAGATAATTGTAAAGTTCCTGGCTGCTTCTGTGCAGTTCCACACGCATTGAAAAACTTTATCACCGTCAAACCTTTGATTCTCTCGGGTCTGCTTCTGGCTTTTTGTTTAAAACAGCAGTTCTCAAAGCAGGGTGCCTGAGGCAGCAGTGTCTGTATCACATGAGAGTTTATCAGAAATGCACAATCTCAGGTTCCATGCCAGACCTGAGTTGGAAGGTCCAGGGGTGGGACCCGGTAACGTTTGTTTTCTGAGGATTCTGATGCAGGCGCGAGTGTTGAAATTCACCAGCCTGTTATCAGATGACTGAGGCCCTGCCAGACGCTAACTTGCCAGGCCTCACTTTGCAACCCTGTGCTAAGTTTTTTATACTTCTTCTTTTTTTTTTAAGATGGAGTCTCGCTCTGTTGCCCAGGCTGGAGTGCAGTACCGCAATATCAGCTCACTGCAACCTCCTCCGCCTCCCAGGTTCAAGGGATTCTCCTGCCTCAGCCTCCCAAGTAGCTGGGATTACAGGTGTGCGCCATCATGCCTGGCTAATTTTTTGTATTTTTAGTAGAGACAAGGTTTCACCATGTTAGCCAGGATGGTCTCAATCTCCTGACCTCGTGATCCTCCTGCCTCGGCCTCCCACTGCACCTGGCCACCGCACCTGGCCAGTTTTTATACTTGTCAGCCCATCTCCCTGTCATATTGGGGAGCAAATTGTTCAGTACCGAAGGCGTGTCCGGGTGGTACATCCCAATGTGTGCACACACGTTGTCCCTCACTAAAGGAACACATACCAAGCTATGGCCACCCCGGGTGGACATTACAGCTGATTTTTCAAATTGTCTTTTCAGATTTGTTGTGGCTTTTCAAATTTCCTTTAAAAGCTATTTTTTAAGGTTTTTGTTGCCTTCTACCTTTTTCCCCATCCCTCTTCTTTCCTCCCATTCTTTCTGGAATCTACCGTGTCTGCCCATGCGGATTTCACGGGTCCTGCTCAGGGCTGTGGGTGGCTCAGCCAGCTCATGCCAGGGCCTTTCTAGGGTGGGTGGGCACATGGACATTTCAGGGGCTTAGAAGGGATTACAGATTTTCGGAAAACTTTTAGACCTTTCAATCTTTTTCCCTGCAAGGCAGTGGTAATATCATTGAAAAACTATAGAAATATGACTTAAAAATGAAAGCTTTTTTCATTCCACCCCTCTTTCCTCCCTCCCCCCCAACCACCCACCCAGAGGTAACTGTTTTAAGTCTGTAATGGAGCACTGCAGGTTCTGAATATGCACATGGCAACATCTGGTTGGTAGTTTTTAAAACAAAGTCACTGTTTATGGTGTTTGTAATTAGCTTTTTCCCCTAAGATTTTCTTTTAATATTATGTCTTAGATGCCTTTCTGTGTTGGTTAACATAAGCTTGTTATATTAATAATATTATAATATTAATTATAATACATTATGTATTATAAGTTTATTAATTATACTATTTTAATATATTACATTAATAATTTTAACATATATTTATAATATGCAATATTAATTGTAATATAATTATATATTTTAATAGTAATTATACATTATAATTATAAAATTAATAAATTTAAAATGTTATAATGTAATAATTAATATATTAACTATTACATTATATTATAATTAATATTAACTTATAATAGGATGTACACCCCCGTGAGCCAGGTAGGTCCAGTAGTGAGGCTGGGGATACAGTGTGACTCTCTCTGACCCAGGGCCTGCCCACATGGAGCTTAGAGTCTACACATTTCTCATGACAGAGCTGAACAAAAGCGTGGGAGGAATGATCAGCTACTCATGTGGGTTCACTATGACAAGCCACACGCTGGGGGTGGGTACGAAACAGACTTGGTGCTGCCCTAGGGAAGCAGCAGTCTAACCGAAAATATTCACAGTGAAACACACCCAGAGGCACAGCCCAAGCTGGGATAATACCTCCGGTTATTGAAACATACAGGATACTCTGAGCAACGGTAGCAAGGGAACTGAAAGAAGAATGAGGGCAGAAGATCAACCAACATTCTCGGGATGGATTCCGGAATTTAGTGAATCCATCCAGCCTCTGTGAACAGCGCTAGCCCACTGTAAATAACTCCGCCACATACGTCCCCATGCGTGTCTTTATAATCTTGCGCAGAGTGGGGTGATGGTCACTATGAACCAAGGCATCCAGTGACAGTGGATTTCTTCCCTTTGTCTTTTCTAAGGATCAGGAAGACATTTACTTCATGAAGGGGGCCTTGGAAGAGGTGATTCGCTACTGCACAATGTACAACAATGGAGGCATCCCCCTGCCGCTGACGCCCCAGCAGAGGTCATTCTACCTGCAGGAAGAGAAGAGGATGGGGTCGCTTGGTCTGCGAGGTCAGTGCCTGGCCCCAGTCCAGAGCTTTAAGTTTGCATGTAACATAACCTCATTTTTTTTTTTTTTTTTTTTTTTGGAGACAGATTCTTGCTCTGTTGCCAGGCTGGAATGCAGTGGTGCGATCTTGGCTCGCTGCAACCTCTGCCTCTCAGGTTCAGGCAATTCTCCTGCCTCAGCCTCCTGAGTAGCTGAGACTACAGGCACCTGCCACCACGCCCGGCTGATTTTTTTTGTATTTTTACTAGAGATGAGGTTTCACCATGTTGTTCAGGATGGTCTCGATCTCTTGACCTCGTAATCTGCCCGCCTGGGCCTCCCAAAGTGCTGGGATTACAGGCGTGCGCCACCGTGCCCAGCCAGTGTTGACTTTTAAGGGCATTCAAGCAGGGTCCCCCATCAAGAAGGTCACCTGTCCCAAGGAGTCAGGCAGCATGCTGACAGCAGCGACACATGCTTGGAACCTGGTGGTCAGATGAAAGGCAGAGAGGCCCCCACCTCACCCCAGCTCCTCACCGACCCCTGTTAATCCAGAGAAGAGGGGACCCTCCCTTGCTGTTTCCTGGGGCAGGTGAATGGGCTGCACCCCAAACATTGATTTTCCAGTCATGGCGGAAGGTGAAAAGTACGTCTTACATGGAAGCTGGCAAGAGAGAATGAGAGCCAAGAAAAAGAGGAAACATCTTAGGAAATCATCAGCTCTCATGAGTCTATTCAATACCACAGAACAGTATGGGGAAGCCACCGGCATGATTCAGTTACCTCCCACCAGGTCCCTCCCACAACACATGGGAATTACGGGAGCTACAATTCAAGATGAGGTTTGGTGGGGACACAGCCAAGCTATATCAAGTGGACAGCAGTGATGCTTTCTGCTACGTGGCTGTTTCTGGCTTCCCTCTCTGATGTGCATCTTCACAGGCCTGAGAGCCACTGGAGGCATCTCTGCCCTCCCTTTGCAGTCTAGGAACTTGCTGCCTGAGCCCCCTGCAGACCGAGGAGGATCTGGGCCATGGTGCAGGCTGGCTGGGAACTAACAACTGGGTGCGGTGGCTCACCAGTAATCCCAGCACTTTGGGAGGCTGAGGTGGGAAGATCACCTGAGGTCAGGAGTTTGAGAGCAACGTGACCAACAGGGTGAAGCCCTTTCTCTACTAAAAATACGGAAATTAGCTGGGCATGGTGGTGAGCACCTGCAATCCGGGCTACTCAGGAGGCTGAGGCAGTGGAATCATTTGAACCTGGGCAGTGAGCCAAGATGGTGCCACTGCACTCCAGCCTGGGCAACAAGAATGAAACTCCCTCTCAAGAAAAACACAAAACACAGAAAAACAGCCCCTAACCCCCCAGTGACCCCTCCTTTCCCTCCCTCTCTCTGCAGTGCTGGCCCTGGCTTCTGGGCCCGAGCTGGGGCGGCTGACATTTCTGGGTCTCGTGGGCATCATCGATCCCCCGAGGGCTGGCGTGAAGGAAGCGGTTCAGGTTCTCTCCGAATCAGGCGTGTCCGTGAAGATGATAACAGGAGATGCTCTGGAGACGGCCTTGGCCATAGGTAACCGGGACAGGGTGGGGATTGAGGATGAAAGGACCCGTCCATCCTTTACCATGGGGTGCTGCTACCATAGGGAAGCCTCAGCTAACTCGGTCAGTAGTGCTCATGTCGAGTCCTATGGGCTTAGAAAAGATGCTGAGATTCATGGGCCAGCATTCCATCTTCCGAGGTATCCCTGTTTCTGAAATGTTGGCAGGTTCTGCCAAAGGGTAAAAGTCCTCATGGATAGTGAAGCCCTACGATGTGTCAGGGGCTTTTCATCCACTATCATCACAAGCAGCCTCATGCCCACGTAGTTTGAGTCTGCCGTACCCTTGGCAAACCGTTGAACCACTCTGACCCTCGGTCTCTTCATCAATAGAGGGCTAGCAGCCTCCTCCCCCATCCTCATCCTTCCTCCTCCTCCCTTCTCCCTCCCTTCTTCTCCCTCCTCTTCCTCTTCCTTTCTTTTTTCTCCTTTCTCCTCCTCCCTTAACTTGTAGTTTAGGGGAAAACTACAACAGATGCTATCTTTTCTCTTTTTTTGGTGGGGAACAGTACTGAGTCTCACTTTGTCACCCAGGCTGGAGTGCAGTGGCACAATCTCGGCTTACTTCAACATCTGCCTCCCAGGTTCAAGTGATTCTTCTGCCTCAGCCTCCCAAGTAGCTGGGATTTCAGCGTGCACCACCACACCTGGCTAATTTTGTATTTTTAGTAGAGACAGGGTTTCGCTATGTTGGCCAGGCTGGTCTGAAACTCCCGACCTCAGGTGATCCGCCCACCTTGGCCTTCCCAAGTGCTGGGCATTCCTTGGCATTATTCCTGTTATTCAACTCTGTGCCTCAGTTTCCTCCTCTGTAAAATAGGGGTACTGTTAATGCCATCAGCTAATTCACAGGGTTGGTGAGAGGATTAAACAAAGCCAGGCCCATGAATCTCTTCCTCCTCCTTCCTCCTGCCTCTCCCCCTCCCCTGCCTGGTGCTATGAAAAGGTCCATGGGCTTTGGAATGAGAGCCGTGTGAGCTTCCAGAGTTATTCCTTATCAGCTGTGTGAGCTCGGATAGGTCACTCCTCTGTTTCCTCATCTGTAAAGTGGGGATAATGAAGTGTTCGGTGTCAGTTAATCCTGTGGAGAGCATTGAGGCCACACGGCACGGGGGGTGCCCAGGACACTGTCTCCAGCGTGGTTTTATTCTTGGTGTTGTCCATGGCCAACGTAGGGCTAGGAGCGGGGCGGGGGAGGGGGCCTCGGAGCCGGCCCTCAGAGCAGGTTCTCCTGCAGGGAGAAACATTGGCCTGGGAGACGGGAAGCTGCAAGCCATGTCCGGGGAGGAGGTGGACGGCGTGGAGAAGGGCGAGCTGGCCGACCTCGTGGGGAAGGTGGGTCTCCGGAGGCACGGCTGGCGGTGGGGCTGGGTCACAGCTCTGAAATCTGATTCTTCACCGTCCCTGTATCCATGTCCAGGTGTCCGTGTTCTTCAGGACCAGCCCAAGGCACAAGCTGAAAATCATCAAGGTTCGCTGGGCAAGGCGCGCACAGTGCAGGGCTCGACCGTGGCTTCCTTCTCTAGGTCCAGGGCAGCTGCCGCAGGGGTTACCTTTTCACAGCCTGGGGAGGGAGGAGGAGGAGCAGGGGCGGGTGGGCAGCCCCCTCGGAGAGGACGAGGCCCTGAAGTTGCCAGTGTCACTTGTGCTCACAGCCCCTTGGCCAGAACAGGTCCAGGTTTAGCTGCAGGGGATGCTGGGAAGTGTCATCTCTAGCAGGGTGGACACGAGCTCCAGTGAGCCTGGGGGTCCTTTTAAGAAGGAGTGGATAACTGGGGGACCCTTGCCACACAGGCTGAAAAGAGAGCCGTAAGTGGATAATGCAGAGGGTAAAACTACAAGAGGCTGCCTTTTTTTTTTTTTTTTGGTGGGGGGCGGTACGGAGTCTCACTCTGTCACCCAGGCTGGAGTGAGTGGCACAATCTCAGCTTATTTCAACCTCTGCCTCCCAGGGTCAAGCGATTCTCCTGCCTCAGCCTCCCAGGCAGGTGGGATTACGGTGTGCACCACCACACCCAGCTAATTTTTGTATTTTTAGTAGAGATGGCGTTTCACCATGTTTGCCAGGGTGATCTCCAACCCCTGACCTCAGGTGATCTGCCCGCCTCGGCCTCCCAATGTGCTGGGCGCTCTTTGGCATTATTCCTGTTATTCAACTCTGTGCCTCAGTTTCCTCCTCTGTAAAATGGGGGGACTGTGAATGCTGTCAGCTAATTCGCAGTGTTGGTGAGAGAGCTGAACAAAGCCAGGCACACAGCAGGTGTCCAATGAAGAGCTGCTGTGATCTTGTGACCCTGCATCCCAAAACTAAAACAGGTGGAAAGTGAAAGCGTGCTTTTCTTGCCTGCGTGCACTCTGAACGTTTGCCCTGGAGCTCTTTTAGCAGATGGGCTTTCTTCTTTTGTGTTATTTTTAGTTCTGTAGAGTAAATCCCTATGTGAATTACTTCTCAAAGAAGGTAGTAGTACTTACCAGGTACCTCATGGTTTTTAGGGCTGCATCTTTTATTTTTTTATTTTTTTGAGACGGAGTTTCGCTCTTGTTACCCAGGCTGGAGTGCAATGGCGCAATCTCGGCTCACCGCAACCTCCGCCTCCTGGGCTCAGGCAATTCTCCTGCCTCAGCCTCCCAAGTAGCTGGGTTTACAGGCCACCACACCCAGCTAATTTTTTGTATTTTTAGTAGAGACGGGGTTTCACTATGTTGACCAGGATGGTCTCGATCTCTTGACCTTATGATCCATCCGCCTCGGCCTCCCAAAGTACTGGGATTACAGGTGTGAGCCACCGCGCCCGGCCTTTTATTACTATTATTGGTGATGGATAACCTTTCTGAGCCCTTGCTGACTGTGCTGGGCACTGTCACATCCATCATCTTAGTTTGGGCTTCACAACAGCCCTGGGAAGAAGGAACAGTTGCTCCCACTTTGCAAATGGGGAAACTGAGGTCGAGAGGGTCAAGGGCTCGCCCAGTTCCTGCAGCTAATGTGGGTGAAGCTGGGATTCAGACTCTGGTGCCCTCCAGACAGAGGTCTCTGCAGCTGGCCAGGTGGTGTGCCTGGCAGAGCACTGGAAGGGAAGGGAGGAGCCAGGAGGGGTCCTCGGGCTGCAGGCCTTCATGGCTGCTGTGTCCAAAGGCTCTGCAGGAGTTGGGGGCGATTGTGGCCATGACTGGGGATGGCGTGAATGATGCAGTGGCCCTGAAGTCTGCAGACATCGGGATCGCCATGGGGCAGACAGGGACGGACGTCAGCAAAGAGGCCGCCAACATGATCCTGGTGGATGATGACTTCTCAGCCATCATGTAAGCTGCCCTTTTGGTAGTTTCTTAGTTGCAAAAAGGCCTGGGGTCACCAGCTTCTCCCTGGGACCTGCTACTGTGGAGATACAGGGGATCTCAAGGAGTCCCCAGGGAGAGCTCAATCTTGGGGTTCATCACTGTGGCAGTGCCTCCAACCTCAAACACCAACAGCCTCTCAAAGCAGGGTCATGGGGTCTGTGACTTCTGGGGCACGTTACAGACACGAAGCAGAGATGGGATTCGCTGCCTGCAGGTGTGTTCCGTGTGTTACTGGCTCAGGCCGGTGGCAGCAGCTGAATCTATAAGGCAAACCTGCAGCCAAAGACACGCTCACACTGGAGTGTCAGGTGAGAAAGGTTGGACGCTGGCATGTTGATACGCACATCTCATGCACTGAAAACCGCTGGTGGGCTCTCTAGGTTCTAGGATTGTACAAAACCATTTTTTCTGTTTCCCTTTTATGTATTTTTTTCTTAATACATTTACCTTCCCTCAGGATCTAATTTTAATTAGTTCAAACTCCTTCCTCATAAGTAAATCACAGTAGTTGGGGATGAGAGAAAAAAAAAATTTTTGAGACGGAGTCGCCCCCTATTGCCCGAGGTGGAGTGCGGTGGCGAGATCTCAGCTCACTGCAACCTCCGCCTCCCGGGTTCAAGTGATTCTCCTGTCTCAGCCTCACAAGTAGCTGGGATTACAGGCATGTGCCAACACACCTGGCTAATTTTTTGTATCTGTAGTAGAGATGGGGTTTCACCATGTTGGTCTCAAACTCCTGACCTCCTGATCTACGCACCTTGGCCTCCCAAAGTGCTGGAGTTACAAGCATGAGCAAGGGAAAGCTTTTCTGAGGCTGATGTCAGAAATTCAAATGAACAAATGCCAAGGTTAGGTGTGATCACCCACTTTGCAAAGGCGTCTCCACGACTGACTCATCATAGGAAGCCCTAACACAGTCAAAAAAAAAAAAAGTCCTATCAGCTCTACAGTTCTTTTGCAAAATTTTTTAGTAAAATCTGGGGGTGGGGGTGGTGCATAGATTGCTTTTCTATATTAGTGACCCCAGGTCAAGGTTTAAAAGGCCTTCCTTGAAGAGCCTTCTAAAGACACAAGTAGGCAGCGTCCTCCAGTCTCCCCCCTCTCCCTCCTTGCTGTCCCCCGGACCTTTCAAGCCCGACTGGTTTTGCTGTGCCTCTTTTCTTTGGTGAATCGCTGGGAGGCATGGAGCACTCGGGAGTCTGGGCAGGGATGGGGTCCCTGGGCTTGACAGGAGCGTAATTTATGTCCGATTGGAGGCATCGAATGTACCCTTGGCACAGAAGGGCAAAGTGGCTTGAGGATCAGTCCCCAGTGGCCGAGGGGCACCTGTTAGAACACCACCATCTCCTACGGATGTGTCCCCAAGAAAGCCCGCAAGTCCAAGTCTGACATCCATCTGTGCGCGTCACCACTGCCCCTTGCAGCAACCGACACAGCTGCTGGAGCCCTCCCGCAGGGCCTCTGAGAGTGAACGGCTCTCTTCTCTCGCAGGAATGCAGTGGAGGAAGGGAAGGGGATTTTTTACAACATCAAAAACTTTGTCCGATTCCAGCTGAGCACGTAAGTAGAGGCCGGCTTCCCGAGGGCATGAGGTGCCAAGCCTGCTGGGCAGCCCTGACGGGCTGTGTGTGCCCCGCAGGAGCATCTCTGCCCTGAGTCTCATCACTCTGTCCACCGTGTTCAACCTGCCCAGCCCTCTCAACGCCATGCAGATCCTGTGGATCAACATCATCATGGATGGGCCCCCGGCACAGAGGTAAGGCCAGGCGGGGCCCTGCGTCTCGTTACCCCCCTGCGGGGCTTCCCCCAGGGGCTGCTGGCTGTGCCCCAAGGCTATAGGGATGAACAAACACAGCCACTTTCCATCAGGAGTTCCCAGAAAACTGGAGTGGCTGGCACTGGAGTGAGCCTGAGGGTAGAAGGCAGAGGAGAAAGTACCTGGGCTGGCAGAGGATGCAACTTTCTGCTCCCTCTGCCGGGATGCTCTCCCTGGGCAGCCTGCCTGGCTTGTTCTCATTCTTCATTCCGGTCACTGCCTTCAGGAAGTCTTCCCTGATTGCACTCCCATTCCATCTCCTCATGCTGCTGTGTTTTTCCGTAGAGAGGAAATAACGTCCATACCTTTCTTTATGGATGTGATTATGATCTGGCTCCCCTTTAGAACATCAGCTTCATTGAGGCAGAGTTTGTTTTATCCCTGCTGTCTAGAGATAAAGTACGTGTTACTCAGTAGGTGTTCAGGAGTTCACCTGTGGTGCAACTTAATATCCCCAACAACAAGGGGATATTAAGCTAGCCGAGTGGCCCAGGGGAAGGAATGAGCTTTGGAGTCAGGGGACCCACGTGGCCATGCGAACGTAACCGTGTGCGCGCAGAGCCGATGGTACTTCTGCAGCTCACTCAGTGTTGCTGTTGTCACCATTGACAGCTGCCAAGGGAAAGAGTCCCCATTTGTGTCCCCACAGCCAAGTGTGAGGGCTACCTCTCCTACCCCCACTCCCCGGGAGCAGAAGTGGGGCCACGAAGCAGGCCTCAGCTGTGTCTGAGCAGTGGGGCGTCTCCCCGATGCTCTCGCCACGCCGCCCCCTGCTGGTCTAGCCTCAACCCTGCTGTGTGGAGTTGGCTGGAGGCAGGTCTTCCTTGACAGACGAAGGGCCCTGCAGAGGGCAGAGCCTGTTTCTCCAGGCCCAACGTTGGGGGTCCCCACGTGGTGATGGAGTGCACCTGGGCGTATGGAACTGTGTGTGGTTGGCCTCACTTGGTGGTCTTCCTTCACTGTCTGGGGACAGATGGAGGGGCCCAGGCTCTGGGGCTTCTGGAAGGCGCCAAAGAGGACATGCGGGATGCCTGGGGGCATTCAGCAAATGCCTGGCCCTGCCCACTGTGCCAACTCGTCCTGGAAGATGTAGGTACAGCCGTTTCAAACATCCTTTTTACATCCCTGGTTCATTTCCAAGTGTCTGTGTTTTGTTGGGAGCAGCCTGGGCGTAGAGCCCGTTGACAAAGACGCCCTCAGGCAGCCACCACGGAGCGTGGGGGACACCATCCTCAGCAGAGCCCTCATCCTGAAGATCCTCATGTCTGCGGCCATCATCATCAGTGGGACCCTCTTTATCTTCTGGAAGGAGGTGAGTGAGGGCCTCCACTGCTTGTTCAAGCCCTGGTGCAGTGCAGACGCTGGGGACTGCAGGCCCTGCCCTCCTGCCGTGGCTCACATCTGGGAGAGGCAAACACGTACACACACAGGACAGTGTGATGCCATCAGAGGGAGGGGAGGCCTGAGGCGGAGGGGCTGGGTGACCCTGAAAGCAGGGAAGTTGCCAGGTGTGTGCCTGCAAACTGCAGAGGCCAGCGGGATGGGGATGTCATGGCCGGGACCAGAGTTAAGATGGACAGGATGCCCACTGTTCCTTTTATTGTTACCAGGAAACAAGTGGAAACAGGAAAAAGATCCTCCTCATTGTCTAGAGGTGACTGTTTGCTTCGGATCTGGTCCTGTCACTTTTTCATGGCCTGCAGGTTCAGGGAGCTCTGGGCCAGGACGGGCAATGACCTAGGTGGGAAATGAGGCAGGTTGACCCCAGGACCTTTTACATCACAGCCCATGTGCAGGAAGGGGGTGGGACCCCAGCCAGGCACCCTGAGTCCATTTTTCCTCCAGCTCTCCTCCTGCCCAGCCCAGAGTCTACTTTCACTTGCTCCTCCCTCTGCCCCTAGCAAAACAGCTCTATATTTCCCGAGTATTCTTACTCACCTGGGAAGGCAGTCAAGGTCTTATCCAGCTTGGGGTGGGAGAGACGGGCTCTCTTTGGTCCAAGCCGGTGGTCCTCAGAGTGGGGTTCCAGCAGTGGTGTCAGCACCCCTGGGCATCTAAAAAATCAGATGCCCAGGCCCTATCTCCGCCTCCACTTTAACACACTTGCTCCAGGAGACTCAGCTGCGAGCTCATGGCTCAACCCTCTGATCTGGCGCTGAGTGCAGGAGGGAAGTGGTGGCATGCTGCCCGGGCCAGGCAGAGAAGCCTCTCCTCAGGTGTTCGGAAGTTGAGCTGAAAAGTGCCAGCTGGGCATGGTGGCTCATGCCTATAATCCCAGCACTATGGGAGGCCAAGGCAGGCAGATTACCTGAGGGCAGGAGTTTGAGACGAGCCTGGCTCCACATGGCGAAACCCTGTCTCTACTGGAAACAGAAAAATTAGCCAGGCATGGTAGCTTATGCCTGTAATCCTACACTTTAGGAGGCTGAGGCGGATGGATCGCTTGAGGATTTCAAGACCAGCCTGGCCAACATGGTGAAACTTCATCTCTACTAAAAATACAAAATTAGCCAGATGGGCATCTGTAGTCCCAGCTACTTGGGAGGCTGAGGTGGGAGAATTACCTGAACTTGGGAGGCAGAAGGTTGCAGTGGGCTGAGATCGTACCACTGCACTCCAGCCTAAGTGACGGAGTGAGATTCCATCTCAAAAAAAAAAAAAGAGAACTGCCCAGGAACATCTGACGGGGGGCTGGTCTGGTCTTAGCTCCAGCCATACCCTGCCGGGGCGGCCACCCCAAGCCTTCGTCTGTGGCCCTGCAGGGCTCAAGGCCGGGGAGGATTCCAGGGCTTTTCTCAGCCACCTCACAGGCCCTCATCTTCTTGGGGGTCAGCCAGCCAGCCTTGTAGGAAGTGACATTCACTGTGTGGGTTTAATTGGAGTGGCGTCACCTCCCTGGCAGACAGTTACTTACTTCCTGGAGGAGGCGGGGTTACCTCCACCTGTAGGTACCCTGCCCCTATCCTCATGGTGGCAGCAAACCAGCGTGTGCTGCGGAGACTCTGGTGAGCACCTGCTGACCACACACCTGAATGAAGCTGTGTCACCAAGTCCTCTTAATGAGCTTATAAGTGGCCGGGGCCGTGTCCCAGGAGCCGCCAGGCAGGCCTGTGCTCTTTGGTTCAGGATGGATGGTGTCTCTTCCCGTGTGACCTCTTGCCTGCTTCCTTGCCTTCCAGATGCCTGAAGACAGAGCGAGCACTCCCCGCACCACCACGATGACATTCACTTGTTTTGTGTTTTTCGATCTCTTCAACGCATTGACCTGCCGCTCTCAGGTGAGACCCGGGCTGACCCATCTCTGCAGAGCTGCAGGGTGTTCTCGACAGCAGCGCCCTGGTGCTGCTCACAGCACTGAGCAGCCCTGGCTCAGCGTGGGCAGCCAGGGCTCCCCTGCCTTTACCTGGAGTGTGGACAGCGCACAAGCCCCCATGTAACCTTCTTCCCGCAGACCAAGCTAATATTTGAGATCGGCTTTCTCAGGAACCGCATGTTCCTCTACTCCGTCCTTGGGTCCATCCTGGGGCAGCTGGTGGTCATTTACATCCCCCCGCTGCAGAGGGTCTTCCAGACAGAGAACCTGGGAGCGCTTGGTGAGTGGCAGGGACGTGAACTGGTGACCTAGACCAGGGCTGTGGTGGGCGGCAGCTGCCAGGTGGGGAACCGCAGCCCAGGAGGGGTCAGTGCAGCTCACCAGAGGCCGGCTCCCTCTTCGGGGCTCTTCTGTCCTCACAGGAGGGAACTCTAATGTGGGCTAAGTGAGGGGGGCACAGAGGACACACACAAACCCCCAGGAAGATGCCCCTCGCTCTGGAGTAGGGTCTGGGGCCCAAAGGGCATCGGGATCCCAGGCATCGGCTGGAGGCTCAGAGCACGTGCAGGGAGGCGGAAGGGAGCTGAGTGAGGTCAGGACTCAGCCTGGGGTGTGCCCCCAGCTGGGGAGCCTGGATTTGACCCTGGGGCTAGTAGTGTGACTTACAGATCTGGTCACCTGAAGACAGGGAGCTGGACTGCCTTCCAGTTTTGGCTGAAAGGGACATGATTCAGTCATGATGGCTTTCCAAGGGCACACACCCTGGTGTGGACTCCCCGACATCCTCAGCCAAGCGAGAGTGGCAACTTTGAAGCTGCGGTGACGGCAGGTGTGGGGCGAGGGAAGGGCTGGGTGGAAGCCAGGGGCAAGTCATCGACCCCACCCTTCTTCCCAGGGTGCTGATGGCCACTCCCAGCCCGGAGTAGAGGACAAAGGAGGCAGCCCCCACGGGCCCATCCCCCATGGCAGGGCTCAGAGTGGGTCATTCTATTATCCATCAGGCCAGAGGCTGCAGTGGCAACGGTCCTCACGACCTCCAGCCAAGACTGGGCTGCTCGACTCTGCCTTGTCTTCCGCAAGGCAGTGTCAGTGTAGGTCACCAGTGAATGCCCTGTAGGAACAGACAGAAGAAGAGGACCCCCCCCACCCAGACACACACACAAAACAATCTGCTCCCTGGATGTTTCCACACGCTGGGAAGGAAGTCAGCTTCCCACAGCTGAAGGGGTTGTGCGTGGGCAGGGATGGTTCTGCACAAGAGGAGCGAGGGAGGCATTAGGAATGAATCCCAGGGACCGCGTCGGGGTGCACGGGACAGGGAGCCCAGATGGGTCACTCGGGACATTTTCAAGCAGCAGCACGCGGGGACAGCTGCTATCGGGGATGGGCACCCATTCCCCTTCTAGCCCGAGTTCCTCATCATAAAATGAGGGCTTTTTTAATTTAAAAAGCTGCCCGCTGGACCCACCCTGTGCTCTGGAGCCGCCTGGAGTTTGCCTGGAAACACGCGCAGGGCCTTCTGGAACTGCAGCATTTTAGATCTGGGGTTGGGAAGATCTCCCCGCTTAGGGGAATGGAAAGGGCTGGTCCTCCTGCACCTCTAACTTGATTAGGAGGACTTGCAGGGAAGGTACTTACTGCCTGTGCCCTCAGACACTCTTCTGTTTTCCCCTTTGGCAGATCTGCTGTTTTTAACTGGATTGGCCTCATCCGTCTTCATTTTGTCAGAGCTCCTCAAACTAGGAGAAAAATACTGCTGCAGCACCGAGCGAGTCCAGACGCGCCACGAAGCTGTGTAGTGGACCTCCCTCCGTGGCAGCCTCTCTCATCATCTCGATTTGTATGTGACTGCGGCCCCTGCCGTGTCTACGATTCAGGGGAGACTTTTAGGACCTGCAGCCTTCGGTCACTAGCTCGATTTTTCCAACTGGGAAAGCTGCAGGAATCTCGTGGTCTCGAGAGACCCAGGCCCACAACCATCCAGCACTCCCGCTGGCTCTGGGACAGACAGGAGGGCCCTGTACAGAAACGTCACACTATTTATTAAATCACAATGATTTTTATTAACCGCGTCTATCTACGTTATCTGTGCCACAGCTTGCAGTGAGGCAGGCCACTCGTGACAGATACACAAGGCTCCTGCCAGGCGGGGCATAGGATGGCCACACTCTGACCATTGTCCTCCTGGAGGCCCCATTTCCTCATCATAAAACAAGGGCTTTTTTAATAAAGTGCTAATTATTCTTTTGATGCATTTACTTAGGGTTTTTCATACAAGTGGCCAGGTTGGAACCCACAGCCCTGTGTTCATGGCCATGTGGGGTAAGCAGTAATCCATCCTGAATGGCCTAGAGGAAAGCCTGGGCTTTTGGAAATAAAGAGTAGGGCTGGGCATGGTGGCTCTTGCCTGTAATCCCAGCGCTTTGGGAGGCCAAGGCATGAGGATCACTGGAGGCCAACACAGCAAAACGCTGTCTCTACTAAAAATTTTTTTTAAAAAGTAGCCGGGCATGGTGATGCACTCCTGTAATCCTAGCTACTCGGGAGGCTGAGGCCAAGAATGGCTTGAACCCAGGAGACAGAGACTGCACCACTGCACTGCAGCCTGGGCAACAAAGCAAGATTTGGTAAAAAAAAAAAAAAAAAAAAAAAAAGCAAGTGGCCTTTTTCTCTAGAACCAGGAAATGCAATATCTCCTCCTGCCTGCAGACAAGCTTTATATCCCACAGCCCCAAAGACTTCGTAAAACAGATCAGCTCTTCCATGGGAAAGATGGCAGAGGAGACAGGTCTCCATGCTGTTCTCCTGCGTGAAGCCAGGCCAGAACCGCCAACGAGAACCAGAAGGGGAACCCCATCTTCATCTCTCAAGAAATGAGGACAGAACTAGAACCCCCCAGCTACTAGTCAGGCCTCACCAGAGAAACAAAACCAACAGGATGGAGAGAGATGCAGAGGCTTAAGGAACTGCTCATAGGACTGTTGTGGCTGGCAAGTCTCGCATCTTGAGGGCAGGCCAGCATCTTGGAGACCCAGGGAAGAGCGGGTGGTGCAGACTGAAGGCAGAAATTCCTCCTCAAGGGAGCTCAGCCTTTTCTCTTACAGTCTTCAACTGACTGGATAAGGCCCACTCACATTATGAAAGATCATCTGTTTTACTTCAAACCTCTTGACTTACGTATTAATTACACGGCACCATCTAGACCATTGTTTGACGAAATCAGCTCAGCCTGGTCAAGTTGTCAGGTAAAAGCAACTATTGCACCCGGCCACAGTAGCTATGCAGAAGGCTGCCGGGGGTGGTAACAGCTGGGGCAGAACAAGATAAAGAAGATCAGAGTGGAACCTGGCCCGGGTTCCAGGCAGAGTCCAAAGTCCTCCAAGGCAGGATTCGCAGCCTGGGAAAAAGCCCCTCTATAACCTATAACACCATGCACGGCTACAGGAAGAGATGCACAGGCAGGCCAACCTCATGAGACGCACACACAGGGCTGGCTGGAGAAGAAACCTGCAGAGCAGTGGGCGGCATTCCCCGAAGCTGCCAACCCATGGAACCATTAAGAGGTTAGGGCTGAATTACGCCGCTTACACAGTCTGCTAAGGGGTGCTTCCCCCAGCGGCGGGGAGGCTTCCTGCTCCACTTTTCACGAGCCCTTGGCACATTGCTGGCCCAAGAAATATACTTCCCATTAAAAAATAAATAACCAAAAAACCAGGGTCAATTGGCATTTGCAATAGCAATCAAAATGACTCTTAACTCTTGTTTATACCCTATAAAATAAAACTTTTGGAGGAAAAAATAGGGATAAAGTTGTAGTAAGACAAAAATGCTAACAAAGTATAAAGTAGACATGAAAACAAAGATCTTTTCATTAAGGATACAGTAGACTTGGACACCACCATTAAGCAACTTAGCTTGATTTATATTTGTACAACACACCATCCATGAGTAGCACAGAAACAGTCACCAAAATAAAGAGCAGAAATCAAACTAAAGCCAAAAGAGGAAAATCAAAACCTAGTTCTTTGAAAAGATCAATAAAACTCCCTTGCAAGAAGCTTATCAAAGAAAAAAGGGCAGAGAAACAAATGACCAATGTCAGGAATGAAAAGAACATGTATCGCCACCAATCTTTCAAGATATCCCAGCAATAACAAATAGCACTGTGTACATCTTTATGTGCCCAAAGTCAACAGGTTAGATGAAATAAACCAATTCCCTGAAAACCAAAAACTACCAAAAACTCACTGAAGATGAAAGAGAATCTGAAGCTGAAACCCATCCAAAAGCACTTTCTGAAGCCAGATGATGTCACTGGTGAATTTTACTAAACATGTAAAGAAATATTAATTCTATACACTGTCTTCCAAAAATAAAAGGGGAGACAGCACTTCTCATGAGGCCAACAATGATTCTGATACCAAAACTAGAGAAAAACAGTACTAGGGTCCACCATCCTTTATGAATGTATGCACAAAAGTTCTCAATAAAGTCTCAGTAAAGCAGACCTAGCCATGTGCAAAGACTATAAGACACTATGACGTGGTGGGGTTAATCCAGAAATGGAATGCAAACATTCAAAATCACACTAACTCACTATATTAATAGTCTGAAGAAGGAAAAACACATGGTTATATCAATTAATGCAGAAAAGGCACTTGATAAAATTCAATCCCCATTTGTAATAAAAACTCTCAAACTAGGAATTGAAGGAAACTTCTTCAACCTCATAAAGAACATCGACAAAAAACCGACAGCTAACATCATACTTCATGATGAAAAACCGAATTCTTTCCCCATAGGATAAGGTCCGACGGTGGCCGGCCTCACCACTCCTATTCAGCATAGTATTACAAGTCCTGGCCCGTGTAACATGGCAAGAAAAGTTAAAATCATTGGAAAAGAGCCTGGAAAGGAGAAAATCACAGATAACATAATTGTCTACACAGAAAATCCCAACAAATCTTTTTAAAAAAGAAAAACCCTTCTAGAATTAACAAGTGAGTTTAGTAAGGCCACAAGATACAAAGTTAACATACAAAAAGCATTTGTATTTCTATATATCAGCAATGAACAACTGTGCACTGAAATTTAAAAGTGAACACTATTTCCCTGTCTCAAAAAAAGGTATTAATTATCCCCAAATTGGTCTATTAGGTTTAACACAATTGCCATGAGAATCTCAGCATTTATTTATTTATTTTTTTTGTAGACACAGATAAACTTGTTCTAACAAGCTTGGTACAGTACTATTATCCACAGACCTATTTGAATTTCACTGTTTTTTACATAGTACCTGATGTAAGGCAAACCTGAGTTTATGGGGACAGTGCTCCAGATGGCTGGCCAAGTCTGCCCAGGCCTTCTGATGCCAACTGCAGGTTCAGGAATTTCCCACAGCCATTTCCAGGTTGGATAATTTGTTCATGAGGCCCACAGTGACATCTGTCATGCTCACGGCCATGTCTATTACCAGGAAAAGATACAGATTAGAATAACCCAAGGGCTGCAACTGCAGAGACCGATCACCATCTCCCTCTGAGCCCAACAGTTTCTGAGTCCTGAGAGTCTTTCTAGCAAATCACTGGGTCTCAGGTCTAAGGTTTCCCAACCCCAGACAAGAAAAGTTCTATGAAGTTGCATCAATTCATGTAACCACTGCTACAATGAGGAGGCAAAACTGTTCCATTGCCCCTGAAAAACTCCTCCTCACCACCCTTTTATAGACACACCCTCCAAATCCTGGCAACCTCTCACCCCTGCTTCATCACTATAATGTTGTTCCTTCAATGTTACAGAAATGGAATCATGCTATAGAACCTTTTAGGACTGGCTTTTGTCACTAAGCATAATACCTGTAAGGTCCCTTCAAGTTGTTCTGTGTGTTCTTTTTCATGGCTGACTAGTATTCCACTGCATAAATGTACCACAGTTTCTTTATCCACTCACTCACGGAGTGACAGAAACTCCCATACATTTTTTTCAAGTTCTATGTGAGTCTAAAATTATTTCAAAATAAAGTGTATAAGAAGAAAAGACATAACATAGAGCAAAAATACGACAGGGGTGACACAGTCTAATCAGACAAGATTAAAAGTAAGGCCAAAAGCATTAAGAGACGCCAAGAAAGGAATTTAACAAGATATAATCACCACTGAAAAATCCATAGCCAGACGATGTACCAACACAACATCCAAATTTAAAGAGTAAAGAGTATGAGAAATTCAGGAAAAGCATACAGAAAATTCCTTAGGAGGTTAACTTACCACATGAAAGGACACAAAACCTCAAAGTGATTCCAAAGAGTAGATCTAATACAGATGACTTCTTGGCCAGGCACGGTGGATCACACCTGTAATCCCAGAACTTTAGGAGGCCGAGGCAGGTGGATCACCTAAGTAAGGAGTTTGAGGCCAGCGTGGGCATCATGATAAAACCCCATCTCTACTAAAAATACAAAAATTAGCTGTAATTTTAATTATGCCTCCAGGGTGTGGTGGCAGGCGCTTATATTACCAGATACTCAGAAGGCTGAGGCAGGAGAATCGCTTGAACCTGGGAGGCAGAGGTAGCATTGAGCCAAGATTGCACCACTGCACTCCAGCCTGGGCAATGAAGCGAGGCTCTGTCTCAAAAAAATACAGATGACGTCGCTAATCACTGTGCAATGTAATTTAAGATGAGGAACAGGACTAGGATAAGTTCTCTAGCATACCAAACTTTAAAAACTCCTGGGTCCAAGAGGAAATCAAAATGAAAACCACAATTGGCACACATCTGTCAGCATCTATACAATACTGCAAAATAACTCAGGCCCAATAAAGAAGTAATAGCTTTATGTATTCATTTACTTCCATTCTTTTTTATTTAGTAAAATAACTTTAAAAAAACTGAAAAAATATACAGAAAGAAAGCAGGAAGAAATAAAAGCAAAATAAGTAACTGAATCCAATCTAGGAAAATGAAAACACAAGAAAGGGGGAAAAACAGGTAAGTACAAAAGAGTTCCAACACTAAGGTCCGTGTTACATAAGGTGATCTGAAGACTTCAATAAAATGGAAAATTTACCAGTAAATATAAAAAATACCAATCACAGCAGAGGTTTAAAACAATCTGATGGTAAAAGAATAAGGTTGTCCAGAGTTAATCCCATCCTCACCTGCATAATCAGAAACAGGAATGCAGACCCACAATTTGCATTTTAAGAAGCTCTCTAGGCAAATCTGAGACATGCTCACAGCAGGAGAACTACTGGATAAAAGAGGTCAGTAAGAGGCCAGGCACAGTGGCCCAGGCCTGGAATCCTAGCACTTTGGGAAGCCATGTTGAGTGGGTTTGCTTGAGCTCAGGAGTTTGAGACCAGCCTGGGTAACATGGCGAAATCCTGTCTCTACAAGAAAAACAAAATTAGCTGGGAGTGGTGGTATGCGTCTGTAGTCCAAGTTACTCAGGAGGCTGAGAGGGAAGGATCGCTTGACCCTGGAAGGCAGAGGCTGCAGTGAGCTGAGGTCACGTCACTGCATTCCATCCTGGGTAACAGAGCAAGACCCTGTCTCAAAAAAAAAAAAAAAAAAAAAATAGAATACAGTAAGGTAACTGGGAATAAAACTATGTACAAAAATCAAGAGCTTCCTATGTTAAAGTAACCATCACTTAGGAAAAAAGGTCCACTGACAGTAGCAGAAATGACAATAAAAATTTACCTAAGCTCAATATTCCTCTTCTTGGATAGAAGAATCAACACTAGCCAAATGTCAGCATTAAATATAGATTAACAAAGGCAGAACCATTTTCAAAGTACCCCATTTTTTAAGAAGTGGTCACAGTACAATCAAAGGTCAAAGAAAAGGTCAGCCAAGCATTTTCAGAAAAATCCCAAAAAACAGTAGTAATAGAAAAACAGTTCTTACATATTTTTGTCATAAAACCCCAGTAATTAAAACACGAGAAAAAGAACTAAATCCATACAGAAACTCAGCTGATGAGAAAGTATCATTATATGTCAATGGGAAAAAGACATACTACTTAATATAAAAGGTAGTAAGACTTTATTTTGGGTTAAGATAGGGGGATACATGTTTAAATGCCTTTTGAAGGCTGGGCGCGGTGGCTCATGCCTGTAATCTCAGCATTTTGGGAGGCTGAGGCGGGAGGATCATCTGAGGTCAGGAGTGTGAGAGCAACCTGGCCATCATGGTGAAACCCCGTCTCTGCTAAAAATTAGCCAGGTGCGATGGCATGCACCTGTAATCCCAGCTACTCAGGAGGCTGAGGCAGGAGTATGGTGTGAACCCAGGGGGTGGAGGACGCAGTGAGCCAAGATCGTGCCACTGCAGTCCAGCCTGGACAAAAGAGTGAGACTCCATTTCCAAAGGGAAAAAAAGACGTGTGTGTGGGCGCGCACACACACACACCTTTTGAATAAACGATTTAAGAGGTTAAAAAAACAAACAAACAAAAAAAAAAACAGAAGAAAATGATATTTTTAATAGAGTAGAGACGGACTTCCTCAACAACCTGCAAATCCAAAGAGCCTTCGGAAATGATGGCAAAACTTTAAAATTTATGGGCAGAAAAATGCCACAAACTAAGTCAAACTGTAAAAAAAAAAAAAAAAAAACGTTGGCCATACATGGAAAATGCTACTTCATTCATAAAAAGCACTGTTGTCTGGATGCAGTGGCTTGCACCTATAATCCCAGCAACTTTCGGAGGCAAAGGCAGAAGGATCCCTTGCGTCCAGGAGTTCAAGACCAGCCTGGGTAACATACTAATATCTCATTTCTATTTTATTTTTTTAAAGCACTGTTGCATAAAAAAAAGACCCATATCCTAGAAAACCAAGAAAAAGATATCAAACAGAAAGCTTCTGGAAAATGAAGCTCTTCTCTGTCACTTGTAAGAAAAATGTAAATAGTACAGTTTTTGAGCAAGGCACCATGTGGAAACCCAGCCGACAAGAGACTGCACACTGGCCTGAGGCTCAGCGGCACCAGGGCAGAGGCACAGGAAAGTGAGGGCTGCCACTGCCAAGGTTCAAGTGGGTGCACGTTCCCCACTCGCTGGCACAGGCTGCTGCAACTGAGAACAGCCTCACCCTCCCCAGTGGCAAGGTCACAGCATGACTGCTGTTACCTCCCATCCAAGCATTCCACCAGAGACCTGGGGACTGCCCCTCCCCACCTACCACAGGAAATGCCTTTGTACACCATCGAGGGACTCAGAACAAGCCTGCCCAGCCGGAACACACAGTCTGGACAACCGGGGACAGCCCAGCCAAGGCCACCACTGTTGGTACCTGAGCACTCTTCCCAGACTACTAAGGTTGAGTTCACCCATCCTGCCACTACCTGAACTAGTTGGCATCTACCTGCATGTGCCACCTGTGGGCCTGGAGACTGGTCCACTCAGCCCATCACAGCCGCCACCACCACCAGCATACAGTACTAGGGACCTAGAGGGTCACCCTGCCATTGCCACTGCCATCTCCCTGCCACATTGGCTGCCCAGGGGCCCAAGAGCCCACGCACCCAGCCCACTGCTGCCACTTAGCATCCAAGCAAGCCATCCTCAACAAAACACTAGCAAACTGAATCCAACATCAAAAAAAAAAAAAAAAAAGGCCAGGTGTGGTGGCTCACACTTGTAATCCCAGCACTTTGGGAGGCCTAGACGGACAGATCACTTGAGCCCTGGAGTTCAAGACTAGCCTGACCAACATGGGGAAACCCTGCCTCTACTAAAAATACAAAAATTAGCAGGATGTGGTGGTGGGCGCTAATAATCTCACATACTGGGAGGCTGAGGCATGAGAATCATTTGAACATAGGGGGCAGAGGTTGCAATGAGCCGAGATCATGCCACTGCACTCCAGCCTGGGCGACAGAGCAAGATTCCATCTCAAAAAGCAAAACAAACCAAAAATAATACACCATAATAAAGTGAGAGTTATCCCAGTTATGCAAGGATGCTTCAACAAACAGAAAGTAATAAATGTGACACATCACATTAATAGAATGAAAGACAAAAACCATATGATTAGATATGATCAATTGGTAAATTGATGCAGAAAAAGCATTTAATAAAATACGACATTCCTTCCTGAGAAAAACTTTCAGCAAACTAGACAGAAAGGACATACCTCAACGTAATAAAGACTATCTATGGCAAACCTGCAGCTAACATCATCCTGAATGAAGAAAAGCTGAAAGCCTTTCCGCTAAGAGCTGCAACAAGACAAGGATGCCCACTTTTACCACCCCTATTCAACACAGTATTGGAAGTCCTGGCCAGAGCAATCAGGCAAGAGAAAGAAAGAAAAGCCATCCCAATTGGAAAAGAAGAACTCAAACGTCCCTTTTTGCTGATGATAAAATCTTGTATCTAGAAAAACCTGCAGACTCTATCAAAAAATTTATGATCTCATAAATTCAAGAAAGTTACAGGATGCAAAATCAACATAAAGTCAGTGTTTCTATATACCAATAATGGAATATGTGAGAAAGAATTCAAGATGACAACCCCATTCACAACTGCTATATATTTAAAAAAAAACCCTATTGATCATCTTGTTTGTAAAAAAAATTTTTTAATTAAAATAAAATTTAAAAACCGTAGGAATAAATTTAACCAAGGAGGTAGGTAAATGATCTATACAAGGAAAACTACAAAGCACTAATGAAAGACATTGATGAGGACACAAACGAATGGAAAACATCCCATGCTTGTGGGTCAGAACGAATACCATTAAAACGACCATACTGCCCAAAGTCACCTACAGCCTCAGTGCAATCCCTATCAAAGTATGTTATTTTTCACAAAATTAAAAATAAATCCTCAACTTTATATGGAACCAAAAAAGAACCCGAGTAGCAGAAGCAATCCTGAGCAAAAAGAACACAATTTCAGGCATCACACGACCCAAATTCTAAAGCTATTACAAGACTATAGTAACCAAAACAGCATGGCATTAGTTAAAAAAAAGACAAGACACATGGACTAATGGAACAGAATAGAGAAACCAGAAACAAGCCTATGTATCTACAGCCAACTTATGTTCAACAAAGGTGCCAAAAACATCCATTGGAGTAAGGACAGTCTATTCAATAAATGGTGCTGGGAAAACTGGGCATCCATACACAGAAGAATGAAACTGGACCCCTACCTCCCACCATATGCAAAAACCAACTGAAGATGGATTAAAGATTTAAATTTAAGACGCAAAACTATAAAACTACTCAAAGAAAACAGGGAAAACACTTCAGGAACCCAAAAATTTAAAAATAAATAATCCCATTAAAAAGTAGACGACAGACAGGAACAGACATTTCTCAAAAGAAGACATACAATGGCCAAGTGCCATATATATATATATATACACACACATATATATATATATACACACACACATATATATATACACACACACA